TTCTGTGGCGCTGGAGCTCAGTAAGCTCCTGCCTGTAGTCTGGGCCAAAACTATCACAGAGCTGCCTGATTCCAGTCTACACACCATGTGTTTGAGGAAGAATCACGCCTGGCTGTTCCTCCTGAAAAAACAAGATTTGCCCCCAACAGAGCAGATCACCACCTTCTGACTTTCCTCCTGTGGGATGCAGGTCATGAAAGCAGAGTCTGATTCAGGGTTGTTATTTTTTCCATCTAGTTTAGAAATGGGAAAGGAAGGAGAGGGTTTTGTGGGTAGACCAGAAAACCCAGCTTTCAAGGGTACAAGGGCAGCACTGTCTATGCTGGGGAGTGGCCAAATCTGGGGTGGGGGCAGGAAAGTGGGAGCAGGGGGCAGGTCCAGCTGGGCAGGGGCAGTTGGGGTGGGGCGAGGGTGTGTCAAGGCCAGGAAGGTCTCATGGTCCGTGAATGAGATCGTTGCTTGACAATGCCAAAGGGGCCATTTCCTACTTTTACACCAGTGTGCTATTTTGAAACCTTTTTTAAAGATTTATTTATTTTAAAGAGAGAGAAAGAGCACGCATGTGTGCGAGTGAACACAAGCAGGAGGGGCAGAGGGAGAGGGAGAGAATTTCAAGTGGACTCCACATTGAGCGTGGGGCTCAATCTGACCACCCAGAGATCACGACCTGAGCTGAAACCAGGAGTGCGACACCCAACGGACCGTACCACCCAGGTGCCTACTTTGAGACTTTTTAAAGCCATTTTTTTCTTTTAACCTTACCCCAACCACTGTCATCCATTATTCTCAATTTAGCTTCTCCATGATCTCTGAATCAGAATCCATGGAAAAGGAATTGCCCTGTCACAGTCAGGGACAGAGCTGTCCTCCCAAGCCTCAGCCCATTCAGGTTAGTGGCTCCTCCCGCCAGACTGATTTTTGGAATATTCATTTTGCTTTGGGGGCATGAAAGGATTTAACTATAGCTTTCAATGGAAATGCTAGCAGCCACAGCAGCGCCTGGGACTGTCTGCACGTGGCTCTGCTGTGAACTATCCCGCGGTGGACAGGTTCCCAGGTGCACACCAGCCTGCTCTCCATACCAGGCCTGCTGTACTGGATTCTTCTTCCCGACCCTGACTGAGAACCCACAACCTGTTCCCCAGGTCAGGACAGCTGGGTCAGTGTGGAAGTGGAATGCCTGATGATCTTCCAGGGATCAAATTAGAGAGGTGGCTCCGAACTAATACCTAACAATCCTCTCGACTCAGCAGAAAACCACTGGCGTACCCAGGGACGTGTGGCAATGTCACCAGGGCCCCGGAAGCACAGGGGCTGGTTATGCAAACCCCTCTCATTGTAAGGGGGCAGTCAAGGCCTCCACAGGCCCTTGTCCAAAGCTTTCTGGCCAGAGAGCCCAGCCCTCTGCCGCTGATCCTGACGCACCTCTGCCGCTGCCCACAGTCCGGGGCAGCTGACGTGGAAGCCGCCCCAGCCCGAGGCATGGTGGACCCTGTGGCGTTTGGAACAATGTGCTGCCCAGTGAAGCAGCCTCAGCCCAGCTCAGAAGGAAGACACCCCCAGGGTACAGGGAATCGGCCAGGTCATTTCCCTCACACCCTCCTCAGGCCGTCCCCCTGCTGCGGTCCAGTCCCGGGGCAGCTTCCTCCTCCTCAGGTCTCAGCACAGGATGAAAGCCAGTGCGCTTAGCTGCTCGAAAGGTGGCCTTCGAAGAGGAGAACGCAAGCCTTTCCCAGAAGGTAGCCGTAGCCATTGTCAAGTCCTCCCGAACGGCAGGACAGTTTGGACTAGTAAAAAACCCCATTTTTTAGGAGGATGAGAGAAGATACGAGGACGCACTGTTAAGACTAAGTCACTTCTGAATCTATTCACATGGCTGCTGAGTGCCAGCGAAGGGGCACAGATCCAATCACCCAGGGGGAGAAATGACTGCCAGCTGGAGTGGCCAGGACCAGCTCCAAAAACCAGCAGGTTTAATCAGAGTGTAGTCTCCAGGCAGGGGCAGGCTGTGGAGGGGAGGAGAGCCCGGCAGGAGCAGTCGCTCCAGCTGGTGCCAAGGGTCCGCGTGGGTAAGGCCAGCCTGGGGCCAGACTGTGGAGGGCTTTACATGTCAGGCGAAGGAATTGATCAGGGGACTGAAATGATCAAACAGGTGTTTTAGGAAGATGAATTTGAAGAGAATGTGCGGGATGAACTGGAAAGTCTGGAAGCACAGCAACAATTAGGAAGCTGTGAGATTAATTAGGCTGTTGTAGTAGTCCTGTGTGAGTTGATAAGGGTGTAAATGAGCACAGTGGCAGCAGACACAGAAGGGGGACAGCTGCAAGAGACATTGTTAAGAAAGAATGGATGAGGTGTGCTGCCTGATTGGATTGGGGACCCGGGGAGCTCCAGGAATCAAAGATGACACCAGAGGTTTGAGCGTGGGCAACCGGTAGTACAATGAACAGAAAAAGGCAGGTTAGAAGAGCGAGCTGGATGCAGCAGATGTGAATTCAGTTCCAGCCACAGAGAGTCTGCAGGACACCCAAGTGGAAATGTCTGAGAGGTCAAAGGAGACACACCACCGGAGCTCAGGAGAGACGTTACGGCTGCTGCTGAATTTGGGAATCAAATGGAATGAATGAGATCTCTGAGGAAAAGCAGAGATGGTGAAACAGAGGGCCAAGACTGACCTTTGAGGAATGTCCACATTTAAAGGATTTCTATTCCAAAACTGAGTTTAGAAGTGCCCCCCATATGCCACTTGTCTTCACCCTTGAAATATCAGTGTAAAGTGTTCCATGTATCAGCCGAGCAACCCAGCATTGTTGTCTCAGTGGGAACTAAATTATAAACACCTAGGTAAGCTCCTACAACACATTTGGCTGAAGAAAAGGCCGATATTCATAGGGGAAAAAAAAAAGGATAAATGATACAGTGAACATAATCTAAAAGACTGGCGGATTTGATCCCACAAGGATGAGTCAAGCGATGAAAAAAAAAACCTTGTGAAAAATATCCTATAAACATTTAATTAGAGAAAAGTAGATATTTATTCATTTTAACAGAGACCAAAAAAAAATTTACCATATTTGCAGTGCACTGTCTTCCTGAAGTGTGAATTCCAACTAATCATCAAGTATTTTTAATAAAGGCTACATTAAAATATAAGCTTGCTCAAACACATGTGAACACTGGTCAATATAGGAAAGCCACCTAGACTATAATAACCCACACTAGACTCACAGTAGGTAAACAAAATAGCTTTGCTTTTTTAGTGTGGATCTCTAGTCTTTTCACATGTATATTTCCCATATATGGTATTTTCTTGACAGTCCCTTATAAAATATTACAGCTTTGAATTTTTGGACTAAAAGCTGTCTTAAGTCCTATAAAGAAAAAAATTTTGTCTTATGTGTTATTAAAATTTTTCTCATTTCCTTTAATAAAGAATACGCAACTGAACAGTTTAACAGCATAACAAGTGTTCTTCCATGACACCTTCAATAACTTTTGAAATAGTACTTAGATTTTGATATGTTCTTATATTTAATATGTTTAATTGATATTTTCTTCTAAAATATAGCAAACATATTTAACATACATCAAAAACAGTTAAAAGAAACTTCCTTTCCTTTGGATATAAGACCTTTATAAAAAAGGAACAACTTTTTGAAAAACAGAGTTTACAAATTATTAAAAATGCGCTGCATATACAGGCCCTACAGGCAGTTACTCAGAAGATACTGGTTTTCGTTGTTTTTGGATTTACATAATGTGACAGAACAGTCTCTAATAATATGTCAAACCAGAAAACAAATGCAACTGCTAGCTAGCTTTAGAGATACTATAGACAGATATATAAGAAAATAGAGTCCAGCAAAACTTACAAACTTAGTCACTTCTTACTCCCCAGATATTCGGAACATATCTAAAAATTTTCAACAGATATTGTACGATCTTAGAGAACTCTTAAGATCGTACAATATTATGGAATAGTCAAATTGAGTTATTAAAACCAAAGCAGCTGTTTCTTGATATCTTCAGCCTTTTAACCTAAGACCCAAATAGTTTAACTCTATCAGTTAACATTTGATCCAAGAGTTGACTTTTTAAAATGCCAATACTCTTAAACCTCTTTCAATAATACTTAAAAATACACGTAGGTTAATATATTACTGAGAAGTTTATCTCATTTCTTTAAATATGGGCGATGGGCTGACTTGTAGAACAGTGGGTAAGCATAGAGATGAATTAGCAATTTCCTTGTTTCTTTTCAAGTATTTACACCAAATAATGCAACTGAAAAAACAATTTTTGCAGGGAAAAACTGGGTGGATGATTCTCATTTGTAGGTTACAATGAAAAAGGACTCAAATTTCTTAATGAAGGGGAAACTGCACTGTTTTGGGTCAACAAATATCTGCAGGGTTGCAGTTTTATAGGCAACTGAAAAATCTGAAAGGTAATAAAAAAGTAAAAGTAATGTCTCTTGGTGTAGAAGATTTAGGACATACTTTTTTTTCCCCCATTATTTTGTTTTAATGGGTCTCAAAATTCTGTGACAGATTTTTGGTCAAGTTGTTTCCATTAAAAAGTACTGATTTTAAAAACTAATAACTTAAAACTGCCACACACACACACAAAAAAACATGGTCCACAAAACATTCTCCTTTCCTTCTGAAGGTTTTACGATGCATTGTTATCATTAACCAGTCTTTTACTATTAACCTTAAATGGCCAATTGACACAAACAGTTCTGAGACCGTTCTTCCACCACTGATTAAGACTGGGGTGGCAGGTATTGGGGATAATACTCATTTAGCCTTCTGAGCTTTCTGGGCAGACTTGGTGACCTTGCCAGCTTCAGCTGCCTTCTTGTTAGGACATACTTTTTTTTTTTTTTTAAAGATTTTATTTATTTATTTGAGAGAGAGAGAATGAGAGAGAGCACGAGAGGGAAGAGGGTCAGAGGGAGAAGCAGACTCCCTGCTGAGCAGGGAGCCCGACGCGGGACTCGATCCTGGGACTCCAGGATCATGACCTGAGTCAAAGGCAGTCGCTTAACCAACTGAGCCACTCAGGCGCCCAGGACATACTTTTACAAGTAAGTTTCATAATAGCTAATTTTTCATTAAATCTAAAGAGTCTGTAACACACATATGTATCTTATTTCAAAAGAGGCAGTGACTCAGAGATGCTTAGATTCAACTTCCGGTTCAATCAAAGAAAGTCCAAATGTTTGGAATTAAATGACCCACTACTCGCCAAAAATCCACAAAATATTCACACCGGACAGACCAAGATTAACTCTCCTATAAAAAGAAAAAAAAAAGGTTTTAGTGGAATTGACTGCCAAGCACTTAAGGTCTTTTTTCAAATAATGAAAACAAGAGTCTTGACAAGGAATACATTATTTCATCAATGACATTTAATGCTATTCTGTAATGAGTTATGTTACATATGATTTATCAGGTGAACCCTAGTAATAGTAACTGCTTTCTTAACTGTGCTTAAAACCCAAATTTAGAAAATGGATTTATGGGGTGTGGAAAATTAATTTTTCGGTAGATCTCAATAACTATTACACCAGATAGAGTTAACCAAATAATTTTAGCAAGTAAAAGTATCAATTAAAATTTTAAAATAGAGGATATAGGGATGCCAGGCCTCTTAGAGAATGTTACCTATTTACCTATTCAACTTGAATTAAGGATTTACCAATTATTACTGATGCTTTAGTGAATTTGTATATGGGGATTATTGATATAGCCTAAACTAAACCCTACTGTATATATAACAAAAAGAAAAATCTACTTCTACTCCACAGAGTACTACACCATATTCAAAGTACAAAGGGAAGAGAGGGCTATAAATAAGCTAAATTACTCATCTAACAAAATAAGAAATCAACCTCCAATGTCTCAAACTGAAGAATCAAGAGAGATCTACATGCCTCTATTATGTGGAACCATGAGAGTAGTATTAGAAGAAAAGACTAAATCAGTTTCAAGTGGTTGCCTTTAGTGAGCCTGGGAACACAGGGAACTGCTCATTTCTGTCATGAACTTACAGCACTACAGAACTTTTAAAATTATGAGTAGTTGTTAATTTTGATAAAAAAATTAAAAATATATATATATTACAAAAATGCCCTTCAAAAAAGGTAATTTCTATATTAACTGGTTTTTCCCATTTCTTCAAGGAACTTCTTCACCAAAACTACAAATGATAGGGGCACCTGGCTGGCTCAGCTGGTGGAGCGTGTGACTCTCGGACCTTGGGGTTTTGAGTTTGAGCCCCATGTTGGGTGCAGAGATTGCTTAAAAAGATGAAATCTTAAAAAAAAAAAACCCTATAAATGATAAATCTCAATTTGACAAATGTTTTAATTTTGGCTTGTTCGTATATAAGGCTAAGCATCTTTTCATGTTTATTAGCCATTTACACAACATTTTTCTGTGTAAGTCTTTCAGTCTATGACCATTTTGTTTTTCTTGTCTAATGAATTTATTTTTTAATTTATTATTTTTAAAAATATTTTATGTATTCATTTGAGACAGAGAGATAGGGAGAGAGAGAACAAGCAGGGGGAGCAGCAGAGGGATGGGGGAAGCAGGCTCCCCATTGAGCAGGGAGCCTGATGTGGGGCTCAATCCCAGGACCCAGAGATCACGACCTGAGCCGAAGGCAGACACTCAACCTTCTGAGCCACCCAGGCACCCCTCTAATGAATTTATATATGCTCTTTATATATGATGGATATTAGCTTGGATTTGCTATATGTGTTCCAACCATAATATTTTGTCTCAGTTTGTCATTTAGCTTTAAGCTTTATTTATGGTTTATTTGCTGAACAGAACCCTTAAATTACTGTGCAGTCAATTCTGTCTAGTTTTTTTCCCTTTTGGAAGTAAAACATTCATCTCATTCCAGTAACTACACAAATATCTGGCATCGAATTGGTAATGTATTTGGATCAATCTGCTGCTTTATGGGCATGATTCCAAATGGACTATACTTGAGCTACTTGCTTATTTCCTTTAAGTTAGAGGATAGTTTTTAACCATTTGATTGTTTTAGAATGTATTAAAAAGATTAATCAATCATCTTTAAAAAGTTAATTTCAAAGCTTCTTTTCCCTTGGTTAAGGAAAAAATCTCAAATAAATAAAACATGTATTAGTTTTAGTCTAAAATGTTTCTTTCCCACATGTAAGTTGCTTATTAAGAGAAGATAAGCACTTCAAAAATTTTATCAGTTTTTGGCTTCTGAGTAAGTTATTAATCCCACTTAGTACTTTTTTTTTTTAAGATTTATTGATTTATTTGAGAGGGAGAAAGAGAGCGAGCAGGGGGAGGGGCAGAGGGAATCTTCAAGCAGACTCCCTGCGGAGCATGGAGCCTGATGCAACATGGGGCTTGATACCACATCCATGAGATCATGAACTGAGCAGAAATCAAGAGTCGGATGCTTAACCGACTGAGCCACCCAGGCGCCCTCCCTAATAAGTACTTTTATTTTATGTTAAGTAAGCTCTACGCCCAACGTGGGGCGTGAACTAACGACCCTGAGATCAAGAGTCAGATACTTGGGATGCCTGGGTGGCTCAGTTGGTTAAGTGCCTGCCTCCGGCTCAGGTCATGATCCCAGGGTCCTGGGATTGAGTCCTGAATCGGGCTCCCTGCTCAGCGGGGAGCCTGCTTCTCCCTCTGCCTGCCGCTTCCCCCTGCTTGTGCTCTCTGACAAGTAAATAAATGAAATCTATAAAAAAAAGAGAGAGAGTCGCATGCTAACGACTGAGCCAGCCTGGCGCCCCCATAATTTTAAATTTTCTAACAGTAATTTTATAAAAAGTAAAAAGAAACAGGTGAAATTAATTTTAGTAATATATTTCATTTAACTCAATATATCCAATGTATTAATTCAACATGTAGTCAATGTACAAAGTTATTAAAGAGATCTTTTACTTTTTTCTTGGTCTTCAAATTCTAGTCTATATATTTTACGCTTACAACACATCTCAATTCAGATCAGTCATGTTTCAAATGCTCAATGCCACATGTGGCTGGTGGCTGCTCTATTAGACAATGCAGTTCTAGAACATGTATAAAACAGGACGCCTAAACAAAAGTGAAAAGAGGCATGCATATCAAAACTGGAGTGGACCCTAGATGTTTTCCACTCCACGTCTTTCCCTTCACATTTTCTTTCTTTCTTTTTTTTTTTTTAAAGATTTTATTTATTTATTTGACAGAGAGAGACACAGCGAGACAGGGAACACAAGCAGGGGGAGTGGGAGAGGGAGAAGCAGGCTTCCTGCCAAGCAGGGGGCCCAATGCGGGGCTCAATCCCAGGACACTGGGATCATGACCGGAGCCGAAGGCAGACGCTTAACGACTGAGCCACCCAGGCGCCCCTCCCTTCACATTTTCTTAACCTCAGGTTTTTAAGACTCTCAGACCTTGTATTATCAGATTTCCCCAGCTTTACCTGCAGTCCCGTTCCTTCAAAACATTATTTGATAACACTAAAATTTTGAATCACCAAAAGGACCATACAATTCTGAATTTATTGTAAATAGCATGTGAGCTTCATTACTACATATTTAGAATAACAAAGTAAACAATTTCAACTGACCATTTTCCCATCCCAGTTAACAATAATATGGAATGGGTGCTGACTCAGTCTTTCTGGAAATATAAAACATTTTGCAGAAGGCTTTGTGTCTGATACGGGATGGCTTTTGTTTTGTTTTTAAATTTTAAAGTGGCAAGAGCCTGATAATAGATCTCAGAGTTGCTCCTCTGAGGGACACAACTGTAAAGCCAATGATGTGGTCCAATGAAATGGAGGTTGGTGAGGAATGAAGGGACTTGCCCAAAGGAGCAGAACTGGTTAGTGACAGGGCTGGGCTTACACCAGAAACCCAATCTCTTGTTCAGTCCACAATCCTTTCAGTATATGATGCTGTCTTCTGCAGAATCTTAACAAAGGAAGAGAAACAGTAAATAAAGTACTTGTGTTTTTAAAGCATCAATACTTACCCAAGCATTCCTGACTCTTTAGTCTTTATGATGTAGAGGAACATTAACAATGTATGAAACATATTATTTCGGCCCTGGAACAAAAAGACAGCAAGATTTAAACCAAGCCAAACAAAAAATTATGTGAACCAAACAAAAAGATAAACGCAGATCCTACCAGTTTACATTCTACTAACTCAGAATTCCGTGTAATTCAGACTTTCATTTGCATGGATTTGGACAGAAACTTCAATGGTCCAAAATATTAACACTTACAAAGTTGAAATGTTAAACTTGAAAAAAGGAAATTAATATTAATTAATAATAGGAATAATAGGAATTTGATGGAGAACACAATTTATGATTATAGTCAATGTAAAATTTCTTAGTAAAGAAGCTGGTAACAATAGCAAGTGTAAAGATCATCAGCAGAAGTGATGTTTGTAGTCAAGAGTAAAATACCTGAATAGAAATGTAAACTGGTACAATAATCTTTTGTAGAAAGTAGTTTTATAATGTATTTTAAAAGCCTTGAAAATATTCTGTAACCTAGAATTCCACTTTTGGACTTTAAGCTAACAAAATTATCCAAAATGCAGATAGCTATATCCATAAAGATGAATACTTAGCAGTGTTTACGATAATGAATTAGAACATCCAAAGTGTCCAACGATAGGGGAATGATTGAATAAACTATGTTATAATCTTATAATAAACTCTTTTACAGCCATTAAAAAGTGTTTCTATGGGGCACCTGGGTGGCTCAGTCGTTAAGTGTCTGCCTTCGCCTCAGGGATCGAGTCCCACATCGGGCTCCCTGCTCCGCGGGAAGCCTGCTTCTCCCTCTCCCACTCCCCCTGCTTGCGTTCCGTCTCTCGCTATCTCTCTCTCTGTGTCAAATAAATAAAATCTTAAAAAAAAAAAAAAGTGTTTCTATGGAAGCTTCTTAAAAATTTTTTTTTTTTTTTTTTTTTAGATTTTATTTATTTGAGAGAGAGACAGAGACAGTGAGACAGAGCACAAGTGGGGAGGAGAGGGAGAAGCAGGCTCCCCGCAGAGCAAGGAACCTGATGTGGGACTCAATCCCCGGACCCCGGGACCTGAGCCAAAGGCAGATGCCTAATGGACTGAGCCACCCAGGCACCCTCTATGGAAGCTTCTTAACGGATGGAAAATTATGGTTTTTTAAGGTAATTAAATTAAGAAGTTAATTTTTTAAAAGGAAATAATATTACATAAATATGATTTCAACCCATAAAATAGCACAGAGAAAGACCAAAACGAAATTTACCAAAGGCAATACACCAAAAATGTTAACAATAGCTGCCTTTAAGTAATGGAATAATGAATGATCTTTCTTCTTTTTCTTTATACTTTCCCTAATTAAGCATATATTACTTTTATAGTTAAAAAAAGGGGATATTCAAGAAATGTATTTTCCCTAATTTAAAAAGTTTACCTACTCCCTAAACAAGAGACTCTAAAAAATATTATCAAAGCAAGTCATCCGTGACACTCTGTAATAGCAATTTCTACATTTAGAAGTACCTTTGGAAGATTGTAGACATGACGCTGGTAGATTAGCTCATAATGGGGAGGGTTGATAGCACTCTGATAAATGCAAAAAACATTCTCATTTGTCACATCTGTAAAGAAAATATGCTACATTAACAAAACAAGCCAACCTCTCTATGTGTCTCATGTGAAAATCTCAACGCATTCTTTTAGGAAGTTTATACCTGGTTTATTTGGTGTCTGAACAAAGTGCTGAGAAGTAAATGTTTTTCCGTCAGGGTACTTAGGATGTGGAGGTAATCTGGAATCGAGGTAGGTGCAAAATACATGCATGATGATCTGAAGATGAGGAAACAATTTTTCAAAATCAGCATGAAAATCTATCATGGCTTTAAGCCTTTGTTTATAATGACTCCAATTTTTAAATCCTTCCCTAAAGAGAGAACTAGCAAAAAAGCTTTCAAGTGGTTATATTTATAAGATGAAATCTATAAAACGAAAAGAGAAAAGCAAGACATTCCCAGTTTTCTGTTAAGTGGATCATTCATACCCATATAGTTAACAACAAAAAAACAAGATAAAAATACACATACATTCTCAATTTGAGTATCAGCATTTGAAACTTCATTTTTATATATAATAGTCATTATTAAAATAAAGAACATGATCTTGAAAAACTCTTAAATGCTCAAAAACATTATACTCTTCGCTTTCATCAATCTTAATTCTAGGAATTTTTTTTTTAAGAGAGCATTAGTGTGTGTGGGTGGGGAACAGAGGGAAAGGGAGAGAGAATTTTAAGCAGGCCCCACTCCCAGAATCTTACGGCTGATCTCACAACCCTGAGGAGATCATCACCTGAGCCAAAATCAGGAGTCAGAGACTTAACCAACTGAGCCACCGAGGCTCCTCTAGGAATCATTCTTAAAGCCATAATCCCAAATAAGAAAAAAATACGGATCACGATATTACTTGCAATCTTATTTAAAACAGAAACTAAATAATTCTCAAACTTTTAGCTCCAATATAAGAAAACAGTTGAGTGCGTAGTAATGAAAAAATACTTAAACACTGCAAAAGTGAAAAAAGAATACAAAATTTTACACGTGGGATGATTACAACTATGATAAAAACATTAAAAAATAGTGCAATCTAAGTAAAGGGAAAAAAAGAAAATACACCAAAATATTAACAGTGGTTAAGATGCTGGTAAAATTTTAAATTTTTATTTCTACCTTAGCTTCTAAATTCTTTTTAATACTTATTTTTATAATGGAAAAATAAAAGTACATAAATATAATAACATGGAAAAATGTTAAACCAAAAAAAAAAAAAGTAGGAACTTACAGCAGAATCAGTGGGCAGGTCTGTATCCCACTTGCGTCCTTTGAAGTCTCCACCTCTATTCCATCGAAATGAACTCATACAGCCTCCCTGAGAAAGTTCTGGAGAAACAAAGATGAAATTTAAAAAGCCAAAAAAAAAAAAGAAAAAGAAAAAAAGCCAAAGGGCTACAATAAGGGAAGCATATCATCTTAAAAACCTGACGAAAACACCCAAACATAAAGAAATACAAGATATAAAAGATTAATTTACATATTACCATTGGGGATTCTTAAAAAAGTCAGTGTCATGTGGGGAAAAAAGGTAGAGCAGAACTGTTCCAGAGAAAGTGACCAAAGAAAGAGCAAACAACATACGGTAATGTGTGAACCTACACTCTATTCTGGTTAGAAAAAAAGGGTATGTAACATTCTTTGGACAACTGGAAAATTTGAATATGAACTGTGTATTAGACGATATTATAGAAATATCGCTAATTTTAAAGGTCTGTTAAGTTGTATTGGGGTTATATAGGAGAATGTTATTTTTAGGAAATCACATGCTGAAAAGTAATGATGTCCATAATGAATTTCAAATGGTAGAGCAAAAAAATAAAAGTGCATGTGCATATATGTAGAGAGAATCAATGACAGCGAAATGTAGGGTTTCCATTAATCTAGAAGGCCTATATAGTGTTCGCTGTACTTTTTAAGCTTTTTTGTATATTTGATATAATAATACTTTATATGTATTTTGCATACACGTGTACACATATTTTTTGGATACAGAAATATCCTGCTATCAGGCAATCGTGCCAAAAATTGCAACCTGAATTTACAGGAACTACGGAGGACAGAGAATCATGTAAAATTACACCCCATGGGGATGTACTCAGTAAAATCCATACCATGGGCAACTCTATAGGACAAACAATCTGTTTTTTCAACAAATAAGTTGCAGAAGAAAAAAAAAAAAAAGGATGGACAGGAAACCTATAGCTTAAAAGGAACTTATAAGATTTTATTTATGGGCGCCTGGGTGGCTCAGTTGGTTGGACGACTGCCTTCGCCTCAGGTCATGATCCTGGAGTCCTGGGATCGAGTCCCGCATCGGGCTCCCTGCTCAGCGGGGAGTCTGCTTCTCCCTCTGACCCTCCCCCCTCTCATGTGCTCTCTCTCTCTCAAATAAATGAATAAAATCTTTATTTATCTTTATTTATTTGAGAGAGAGAGAGAGAGTACAAGCAGGGGGAGTGGCAGGCAGAGGGAGAGGGAGAAGCAGGCTCCCCGCTGAGCAGGGAGCCCGATGTGGGACTCGATTCCAGGACTGTGGGAGCCCGATGTGGGACTCGATCCCAGGACTGTGGGATCATGACCTGAGCAGAAGGCAGACGCTTAACCAATTGAGCCACCCAGGTGCCCAGGAACTTAAAAGCTTTATCAACCAGTCATACCATGTGATTATAGTTGAATCCCAATTCAAATAATACCAAAGGGGTAATTACACATTTTATGAGGTGGTTGGAAATTCATACATAAGGTATGTATCTCATGATATAAAGAAACTGTTAAAAAATATTAGGTGTGATAATTGTACTGAAGTTATGGTTTTAAAAGGCCTTATCTTTGAGACACATACAGAGCTATCTATAATACAGAAAGGGAGGAGATAGATGGGGATATGGATAGGGTTTGGGATGCCCAGGGACTGAAGGCTGCAGGGACCAGGGGCTATGTACAAGAGGCTTCAGCATTCTGTTGTGTCTAGTTTTATGAATATATAAATTCTCCTTATAATAAAAAGTTTCTTAAAAGTCACAATAAATGATTATTCCTGAACCCCAATCCAAACCTAGGGGAGAGAGGGGGCACCATAACGCTTTCAAATTAAAATTTATGAGAAATCTGAAGAGTGAAATACTATTTCTAAAACTTGTTTTAGTGATGAGAACATTTTACAGTTTATCCAAATAAAAGCAGGGAAGCATAAAGAGAGAGTGTGGAATATCAGGGAGGTTAAATCTCCTGATTCTCATGCCAGTCTCCTCAGAAGATCACATTTCCCTCCAATAATCTGGACATAACAGAAATACAAAGAAGCAACATATTAAATATGAATTACAAGAATTGAGAGAAAGAAGGATCAGCATGTTGAAACTATGAAGAATGTCACAGTGGTATCCATTCTTCGTAGTTATGAAGAGTAGAAAATGAATGAAATATTTACTTGAGCCCATGTAGCTCATATTTAAGTTTCCCTATACAGAATAAAATTAATATTTTCAAGGCTAACTACATCATTTTGACAATTCCTTTATTTATTTGAGAGAGAGAGACAGCACAAACACGGAAGGCAGGGGCAGAGGGAGAAGCAGCCTCCCCACAGAGCAAGGAGCCTCACATTGGGACTCGATCCCAGCATACTGAGGATTATGACCTGAGCCAAAGGCAGATGCTTAACCAACTGAGCCACCCAGGTGTCCATCTTGACAATTCTTAAGCATATGAAATATAAAAACCAAAAGTTGTTCAAAACTTAACTAAGCCATAATTAAATATATATTTATAAAATATAAGATACTTAGTAATACTTAAATTTTTTTCCCTTGTTACTTTTTTTTTGAGAGAGAGAGAGAGAGAGGGAGTGTGTGTGTGAGTTGGAGGGAAAGGGCAATGGAAGAGGGAGAGAGAGAATCTAAGCAGGCTCCAAACTCAGTGCAGAGCCCAATGAGGAACTTGATCTCATTGACCACGAGATCTTGACCTGAACCGAAACCAAGCATCACCACCGAGCCACCCAGGCACCCCTCCTTGTTACTTTTATTTATAAAATCTCAAGGTAGTGAAATTTTTTCCTCTTCAAATGACTAGTTACCTTTGATCCTTTCAAACAAGTATTCCTGATTTGGTGTAAGGTCTAGATACTGCACAATTGTATTCAAAGTTGGAATGAGAGGAGCTTTGACCAGAGCAGCTTGTTTCAAGCTAGTAATACTAGCCTCTGTTAAAAATAAAACACACAGGACAGATTATTCTTCGTGTGGGTTCTAAAAGAACTTAGAATGCTCTTTCCTCAACAGATGTTGAAGGAATAAATGAAAGCAATAATAGTTTAACAATTTGCATTATCTACTTTACTTATAATTTCTTTTTATCATTTCTGGCACAGTGGCCAGATTTATAAACACAGATACCACATGAACACACACTCCAAAAGCAGCAGCCAAATCCAGGCTGACAAATCTATAAACAGCTAATACACAAAATACTTTTGTGGGGTATGCATAAAAAGATACATGAGACCTTTCAAAATCAGGTTGAGAAAAAGTTGCCTGTTATGCTATGATAAGCAGAAACTTTTTATGACAGTAATTTCTCTTATCATGAAAGACAACTGTACAAAGAAATTAATAAACCAACAGAAATTTTCAGAATGTCTAACCTTACCAGTAATACTCAATGTTGGGAAAAAGGCATTCTTCTATGTGACATGGTTGCTACAGGATAAACTGGTATAAGCTTTTCAAAGGGTTATGTACGTCAAAAGTCTTAATGTATTTATTTCTACTGAACTAACTCCACTTCTAAGAAATTATCCCTAAGAAATAATTACAAATGTACACAAAGATTTAGATAAAAGGATATTTACTCACAGCATTACTAATAACAGTAAAGGGCAAAACCCCTACATTTTAGATAATAAGGATCAGTTAAATACAATGTATTACACATACAAAAAAGAAACACAATCTAGCCACAAAAACAGTACTGGAGAATATTTAACAAAATAGAAAAACTGGGGGGTATAAGTAGGCAACAAAACAGTATGACTCCAATTTAATTAGATGTACACATATGTACCATATTTCCTCAACTCCTAAATACATACTTTTAAATTTTAATGTTCTTAAATTATGGTATAACATACAATTGAGAGAGATATACTAACATATATACTATGTATGTATTAAAATATATACTGTATATACCAATATTATATATAAGTATATAACTATATATATATTAGTATATACACTACATATATACACACACACATATACACACATATTTACATATACATAGTTAGTATCATAACCAAAAATAATAACTGGTTGTGACTTAAAATTGATAGTGATTTATCCCTGGAAGCAGAATTCTGGGTAATATTTTTCTTTGTGTACTTCTGTTTCTACTTTCCAGCCTCTCTACAATGGACACAGTATATACTGCATTTGTAGTCACAAAGCAATGTCATTCTTTTTAAAAAAGCACATCACACTGATATTCCTTACTTATTTTGGAAATCTAATTACTTAACACTAAATAAGTTATGGTATTTTAAGCAAATTGTATGGAACCTTAACAGTTTTATTTTTTTGCAGGTAAGAGAGTTGAAAATAGGTGATTTTAAATTAGCATTATTACACATTCTTTATGCTTTGTACAACTTGGAATTAATATTTGATAAGGAACTTGTATCTAGAATATATAAAGAACACCTCAATGATAAAAAAGACAAATGATCCAATTTAAAAATGGTAAAGGATCTGAAAAGATATTTCTCCTAAGAAGATATATGAACGGCCAATAAGCACATGAAAAGATGCTCAACATCAGTAGCCATCAGGAAAATGCAAATCAAAACCACAATGAGAAACTATTTCACACCCATTAGGACAACTATAATAAAAAGGACAGATAAGTATTGGTGAAGATGTGAGAAACTGAAACCCTCATACATTGTTTGTGGGAATGTAAAATGGTACAGCTGCTTTAGAAGAGTCTACTGTTCCTCAAAGAGTTAAACATGGAGTTACCATATGGCTCAGCCACTGTACTCCTAGAGAAAATTAAAACATATGTCCACACAAACACTTGTATACAACTGTTCATAGCAGCATTATTCATAATAGCCAAAAAGTGAAAACAACCCAAATGTCAATCAACTGATAAATGGGTAAACAAAATGCAATAGATCAATATAATAGGATATTATCTGGCAATAAAAAGAAACCAAGCACTGATAAATGTTGTAACACAGATGAACCTTGAAAACATGTGAAGTGAAAGAAGTCAGTCACAAATGACAACAGATTGTATGATTCCATTTATGTGAAATATCCAGAATGGGTCTGACTAAATTGGTAGTTGCCCTGGGCTGGGGAATGGGTGATGGGGGAAAAGGGGTATGTGGGGTTTCTTTTCTGGGCGATGAGATACTCTAAAATTGACTGTGGTTGCACAACCCAAACCTCTGAACTGTAGACTTTAAAAGGGTGAACTGTACGGTAAGTAAATTCTATTTCAATAAAACTTGTATTAGAAAATATATATATTAGAGACATTTAGTTTTGTCTTCACCTCAAGATAACAAAGTTGTTGTTAAATAGCCCAGTACAAAAAGAAAATTTCTGCTTGGAAGATTCACTGATGGTAAATCAAATGTTGGGCTCTATTTTCACATACCTCCTATCTGGAGCTCAGGACAGCCCATTCGTCTCATCTGTGTGCTCACAGACTCGATCTCTTGTACCAATGGCACTAATATTGTCTCATTGATCCACTAGGAAGAAACAAGGCAAAGATTTTACATACATAATTCTAAAGCATTTCTCAAATAATTCTTTTTTTCTTTTTTAAAGATTTTATTTATTTGACAAAGAGAGACACAGCGAGAGAGGGAACACAAGCAGGGGGGAGTGGGAGAGGGAGAAGCAGGCTCCCCGCTGAGCAGGGAGCCCAATGCGGGACTCGATGCCAGGATGCTGGGATCATGACCCGAGCTGAAGGCAGACACTTAATGACTGAGCCACCCAGGTGCCCCTCAAATAATTATTTTCATGAAATGCTAAGAATATTTACTGTCTTCTACTTGTATAGTGTGGATATATATAGTATAGTGAAAGAGAATGAAGTAGCAGCTGCTGAAGTCCAGAGAGTTAAGTAATAAGCAAGCTAGTAGAGTGTAAGTCAACTAAGTCATAGTCTTAAAGCACGTATGCCTGCTTATTGCTGAAGAAAATATAAAAATTTCAGTTATATGTTGTTTATCTTTTTCTTTCTTTCTAAGATTTATTTATTCATTTGACAGAGAGATAGCACAAGCGGAGGGGCAGTAGGAGAGAGGAGAGAGAGAATCCCAAGCAGACTCCGTGCTGAGCATGGAGCCCCATGGGGGGCTTGATCTCATGACCCTGAGATCACGACCTGAGCTGAAACCAAGAGTCGGATGCTCAACAGACTACACCACCAGGGGCCCCATGCTAAGTTTTTCTCAAATTTTTATGATTATTATACTTAACTAAAAGGATAATTTCCGATTTACATTTCTACAGTAATTATCACACATTTTTTGTCATATTTATATTTTGTAGTTAATAAGAAGTTTTTCAAACTAACATAATTGATGAACTCAGAAGGCTTACCCAATTCCCGAGCTAGGTGGAAACAGATCTATTATACATACTAGATCTACTGGCTTATGAATATTACATATTACTTTAGGACTAGAAACCTCAAATGCCACTTTGGATGGCTAATATCAAACTAATTCTGAGATGTGAAAAGACTGTCCAAGGAAATACCCCATTTGAATTGTCTGTGTGTTGTGTGTTTTGTGTTTTGTGTTTTGTGTATGTGTTCACGGCAACTTCAACCACTACTTGTTTAACCATAAAATGGAACAATGAAAAAGTTTCAGATGAAATACAAGTCAACAATTCCTTATACAAATTCGTGAATTAAGAAACCTTTTATAAAAACACAAAGTTTTTTGGTAATCCATTTAGCAAGCAAACCGAATACACTGGCAAGATGTGAACTGAATTCCCATGAGGCTACAGCGTGACTATTCATATGCTTTGTTGCAAATATTAATGTGGTTGATTATTGAGTGCTAACGAGACTCTGCTAGTAGTATTACAAAATATATGGTATATGCATACTGCTTTTTAAAAAAAAAAATCCAAAAAACTTGAAATTTCAAGCCCTTATGTAAGCAGAAATAAGAGTATAGTACTAGGACATCATTTCACTTATTCATTCTTCCAACATGTATTCAATGCATTCCATTTGCCAGCCACTCTTGGGCTGCAACAAAATTGCCTAAGGGGTTCAGGACTATAGTCCCTATGCTGTACCTTTTATCCCCATGAGGGAATTTTTATGTTTAAAGAGCCATCCAGGCTTCTGGTTCAAGAAAATAGGCTGCTATTTTCATCACTCCCTCTCAATACCCTATTAAAATTATAGTAAAAAAATAAAAAGAGGAGCACAAGTGACTTCAACAGATTTCTAGAAGATGTAGAGTGGATGCATGAGTGCTGAAGGATGGGAGTGGAAGCAGTGGCAGACTCCAAAGAATCTACACGGAGCCCTGAGTGGAGGAAGGCCCGTGTGCCCCTCAGAACTTGGGACCTTCGAGTACTTCCCAGAGCGGGAAAGGGGCAGGGTTGAAACAAGGGAACTCACTCGCTCTGGATGAGTCGGTCTTCCCAACCTCCAGGTCAAAGATGAGAGGGTTCTTCTCTAAAACAATCGAAGAAACTGATATTCTGAAATAGCTTCTAGTATATATTATCTTCTCTAACTTAAAAGTTCTCTGAGGGTGAGGACCTCATTCATTTCCCTCGAATTTCTGGACATATAATAGGTTCTGATAGAAAAGCTCTTTGGGGGGGAAAAAATGAAAAAAAAAAAAAAACCTGAAATAAAATAAAATAAAATAGGGGTGCCTGAATGGCTCAGCTGGTTAAGCGTCTGCCTTTGGCTCAGGTCATGATCCCAGGGTCCTGGGATGGAGCCCCACATTGGGCTCCCTGCTCAGCGGGGGGGCTGCTTCTCCCTCTCCCACTCCCCCTGCTTGTGGCTCTCTCTCAAATAAATAAATAAATAAATAAAATAAAATTGAGCTGCTGGGAAAGGAAAGAATATCTTAATAACTAAATATACTATCCCTTAATCCACTCAAAATAAACTGATTTACTAAATACGGAGAGAAAAAAATCTGATGGAAACAGACATCATAAGGTAAATGTATTTATCCTTATATATGTGCCATCCATATTGTACTTTTAAATATTAATTCTGGTATTCTGATGAGTAATTAATACCTCTAAATTATATTCTAAAAACATATTTTGCATATTAAGAGGCACTAGTATTGTCCAAAGAGTAATGTCAGAACTTACATTTCTGAACTTAGCTGTCCATGAATCCATATGATCAAGAAGTTGTCTATTCATAGTCACTCTTGCCCAAACCTATTAAAAAATGTTTCAAATGAACAATCAGTGAGGAAAAATCCTGCCAGAAATTAGTCATTTTCCTCCACTCTCAAAAATATGTGGAAAAAGATATCTGAAAAACATCACAAACACTGACATTGATCTAATTAATATACGATGACTTTCTTACTTCCCACTTGGTTGCTATTCATGCACAGATACATCTTTAAAATTCCTTACGTTGGTATGTTTAAAGAACATTCTTGCTTTTACGAACAAAATAAAAATTTTTTTTTTTTTTTTGAACAAAATAAAAATCTTGTATTTGGTATTAAACTGATGAAGTTACAGTTGAATGTTCTAATCCAAGTGTATTTTACATTTTTTTAAAGATTTATTTATTTGAGAGAGAGAGACAGACAGCAGGGGGAGGGGCATAGGGAGAGGAGACAGAGAGAGAGAAGCAGACTCCCCACTGAGTGCGGAGCCTGATGCGGGGCTCGATCACAGGACCCTGAGATCATGACCTGAGCCAAAATCATGGGTTGGAGACTTAACTGAGGCACCCAGGCACCCCAAATCCAAGTGTATTTTAAAAGCAAGAGTCTTATATATCAAGTACAAATAGATACTTGAGATACCTTTTTATAAATGAATGAGAAAAACGTTTTAGGCAGGATGGTAATGTCAACTATTTGTTATAAAGAAAAAAACATACAATATAATTCAGCTTTAGGTACACTAAGTTAGATAGCTTCTCCACTATTTAATGTGTGCCAGATTTGTTTCTAGCCAGTAAAAGTGAAGATTACAGGGGCGCCTGGGTGGCTCAGTGGGTTAAGCATCTGCCTTTGGCTCAGGTCATGATTCCAGGGTCCTGCGATTGAGCCCCACGTTGGGCTCCCTGCTCAGTGGGGAGTCTGCCTCTCTCTCTCCTTCTGCCCTTCCCCCCTGCTTGTGCTTTCTCTCTTTCTCAAATAAATAAAATCTTAAAAAAAAAAAAGTGAAGATTACAGAAAAAAAAAAAGTTCCAGAAGTATTAGAGACTTCCTAACAATCTGCAATCAAAAATATTAAGTCATTTTTATTTTCCACTTACCTCCTCTGCAGCTTGTTTAGAACTGAGATCAGCTTCATCTTTGTTAGCACAGGGGGCCTGAGACCTACAGGCGAGTTGATACTGAAACTTCTTTAAAGTTTGTGCATAATCTCCCATAGAACGATTGTAGTTCCAGAAAGTAGGACTGGTGGAAGGCGAGGTCGAGTCTGGACTCCCTACAATGATGAATTTAGAGAGCATCAGTGTGCGCGGTAAGAATTCTGACATACAGGTTTAGCTGATGAATGCTGCGTACCGAGGCACCTGGGTAAGGGCAATCAAGGACGACAAAGCCCCAAGGGACTCTTCTCTCTCCTCTCTGACATGGTCTTTTCTTTAGAGAACATATTTTAAAAAATTAAAAAGAACATTTTCTGAGCAGTATCATGTTAAGAATTCTAAATGGCTGAGAGTGTTTATTTTTGTTGTAAAATTAAGCTTGTTTCGTTCTCTAAGATTTTCGAATGATTCAGCAAGAAACAAAGAAAAGACACATTTCTTCAGGAAAGAAATAGCCTAAGGAAGTTCCCTGCTTGAATTTTTAGTAGTGCTTTCTGAATGGGACAACTACAGTCTCCTATTAATAAACTACTCTTTGGGTCAGCAGCTACGCTCGCTTTTCCCAGTACTACGCTGCGTTCTCTTTATAGCCTGTAATAACTCCTGTGTTGTATTAAAAGAGACTGCCGATTACACTTCTAAATTTATACATTTACTCCCAGGAAATGTTAATAATTACATATGGGGACTTAATCCTCCAGAGGCTTCTACCAGAGTACTTACCACACTCTAAGGTTATAGTTTGTCTTTTTACCCAAACAGAATTTGAGCTCCTTGAGGGCAGGAAGTATTATTTTTCCCAGCATCCCTGTGAAGGGCTGCTGTGGCTGCTCTGGAGAATTCTGTAGGCTTTGGGAAACCTATCAGCTTGGACTTCACTGCCCGAGTGGGAACTGGTAATGACGATATAGGCCCAGGAGAGGTAGAGCTGGATTGAGACCCTTCTCCTACCTCCATCTCCTGTACCCAGCAGAAGGCCAGGAACCGCAAGGGCCACATTTTTGGTAGGTAAGAAAAAAATCTGTCCACTGGCACCAGGATATAACAAGGAAATCTGTCTTAGGTGGTACAGGGATTTAAAAATTATCCATTTTTGTATGGGTTTAGAATACCCATTTATACTATCTGTGAAGTCCAGGAACCTCCTAGCTCAGAAATTACCTTAATTAAGGTCAGTGATACTCCTTAGGCACTTGGCAGAGGCAAATATAAAACTGCTAGGAGGAGACAAGGCTTCTGTCCAGCTTTCCCAGGATAGAAAAGCACAGATAAATAAAACCCTACTGCAGATGAGCTTACCAAAAACAAACAAAAAAACATAAATCACAAGAGGAAACAGGGTTCCAGGCAAAGGAATCAACAAGACGAAAATGTTAGTATTTAATCTACAAGAACTTTAGATAACTGAACTACTGGACAGAAGCTTTTAAAAAGTTATATTTAAAGTGATTGAGAGGGGCGCCTGGGTGGCTCAGTCATTAAGCGTCTGCCTTCGTTTCAGGTCATGATCCTGGGATCGGAGCCCCACATCGGGCTTCCTGCATCGGGCTCCCTGTTCGGCGGGAAGCCTGCTTCTCCCTTTCCCACTCCCCCTACTTGTGTCCCCTCTCTTGCTGTGTCTCTGTCAAATAAATAAATAAAATCTTTAAAAAGAAGTGATTGAGACAGGAAAAAGAACCGAAAACATAAGAACAAAACAAGATACTCCAAAACAAATCATGCATATTTGAAAGAGAACCAAGTAAAACCTTAAAAATTGGAAGAAAAAAAAAATCGCCCACAACAAATTAAAAAACTCAATGAGTTAAACAGCAAGTTAGACACTGCTTACGGAAGGAAGAACCAACCATCAGTGCAAACTGCTAAAACAAACAAACTGTGGGGTGAGGGGTAAAACAGAAGAATGCCAAACTACTAAATGTGGAAGAAATGAAAGTATTAGAAAGTTCTCCACTTTGTTGGGGCGCCTGCTTTCGGCTCAGGTCGTGGCTCAGTCGTTAAGCAGCTGCCTTTGGCTCAGGTCATGTTCTCAGGGTCCTGGGATCGAGCCCCGCATCGGGCTCCCTGCTCAGTTGGAAGCCTGCTTCTCCCTCTCCACTCCCCCTGCTTGTGTTCCGTCTCTTGCTCTTGCTTTCAAATTAAAAAAAAAAAAAAGAAAGAAAGTCTCCACTTTGCAACAACCACTGCCTTAACTCATTTGGGAGAGGACCATCAATGGATGCTAAAACCACTCACTGAAAGGAGCCTGGGGACACAGGATTCACAAGTTGCAAAGTATCACACTACAGATTATTTGTTAATTACAAAAGGGAAAGCCAAGGTTGCCATCATTTTGGCCAAGTGATCCAATTTAATGTTACCAATAAAGGGACAAACTGGTACAGGGATGTGTTTCCTGATATATGTTGAAAGGAACACACCACCACCAAAGTTGTATTCTTGCCAAAAATTGTATTTAAACTAATTCTAATCTAATAATGACAAATGATCACACAAATCCAAATTTGCAAAACAACGAGGCTGACCTCTTCAAATATAAATGTCATGATCCTGCATCAGTAAAAAAAAAAAAAAAAAAAAAAAAAAAAAAAAAGGCTACAAAGGCCATTATTGGGTCAACAGGAAGAAATGTGAATATGAATAATATTAGTACCTTAAATATGATAATTATGTTGTAGTTAGAAAGGAAAATGTTCATATTCTTAGGAGATGTGTGCAAACTAATGAAGGATGAAGTGGCCAGTCAGCAAAAAAATGTGTGAGAAAAAGTAAATGTGAGTGCCTGGTTTCTTATTGGAGAAAGAAGTTACAAATATGAAAAGGGAGGAGGCTGGAATAAACACTGTATAGTTGGATTGGAATTGGAGGTATTATTATGAACTCATGGTTTTTAATATATATAGATGGACAGATACAGAAATATATATAGGTGTGTGTGTGTGTGTGTGTGTGTGTGTGTGTGTGTGTGCATATATTCCTAGCTGTCCTTTTGGAGGACCTAGGGTAATGATGTCCCATCATCACTGACATAACCAGTGCCCAGACATTAATTTCTAAATATCATTCTCCACTAAGAGCAATCATGGCCGCTTGGAGAAACAGACTGACTCCAGAGTTAGTTAACCAGGGAAAGTACAAGAGGAGCCTGAAATATCTTTGGTGCTAGAAAGTAAAAAACAACAACAAACAAACAAAACAGAAGGATCCCACTAGCCAAATCTGAGACCATCTAACCAACAAAATAAATGACATTACTGGGGAGAAGAAAAAGTTCTATCTCACGAAAGAATGCCAACAAATAAATGTAAAAGGTGGTTGCAAGACAATGTGAATGTACTTAATACCACTGAATTATATACACCTAAGAATGGTTAAAAGGGTAAATATTATGCATATTTTATCACAAAAGATGTTTGAAAAATGTTAAAGGGAATAATCAAGAAGGAATGCTGGAATTAGAAAGCCACTATGAGAACCAACATAGTAACAATCAATTTTGAAAAGAAACTTAAAAGGATGTTAAAGCTACTAAGTCAAATATGATGAGGAAGAGGACATTTATACAGCCTCAAAGTAGCTCCTTACAAAAATATTATTTACAGATTAATTTATACAAAATACTAAATTACCTAAAACCTATGGGTAATGAGTTAGAAGTATAGGGATGGACATAAATATACCAGGCAAACACTAACCAAAGAAAATTAGTTCAGCTGTGTTAATATCAGAGAAAATAGACTTGAAGGCAAAAAGCCTAAGAGATAAAGATAAAACAATGATATTAACAATCCTGAATTTATATGCACTTAGCATAATTTCCTATATATTTAGCAAATTTGACAGAATTACAAGAAGACATCTAATGGAAGACAATCAGTGGGAGCTTTTAATGGACTTTCTTACTAACCATTAGATCAAGTGGATGAAGATTAGTAAAGATAAAGTCTTTAAGAACACCTTCAAGAAGTTTGGTTCAATGAACAAATATGGAGCCCAGTATTTAGAGACTATGCATTATTTTCAACATACCAAGACCCATTTTAAAAAGTGATCACACAGCAGGCCTAAATTCAAGTATTAAGAAATACCAAAGAATTGACAGGGTACAGTTCACAATCTCTAGCTGTAGCACAATTCACTCAGGGGAAAAATAAAAGATAACCAAGCCTTCATTTCATATGTTGGCAATGAAAAGCAACACCAATCACTAATACTTCTAAGCAATAAAAACAACACTTCTAAATAACTCCAAAGGATCAAAGAAGAAAAAAAATGGAACCCAGAAAATATCTCAATAAGACGAAGATTTGTAGAGGGAACAACCTAAAGTTGTTTTTTGCATTATACTCTATAATTTTCAGTAAACTTGAAATACTTCAAAATTTAACAGGAAGAAAAAGCATGCATCAACAAATAACAAGATAATACTGATTTGTTTCTTTGACGTTTCTGGCACTTTCAGGCAAAATTAAATTAAAAATCAATGGAGAGCTTTCAAGTGACACAAAGAGGCATGGTCCAATAACGGACTTCCTCACTGTGGCCATGCTTTAGCACCTAATGTGCTTTCTGTGAAAGTTCCCGAGGGGAAAAAAATCATTACTTGGCTCAATAACCTAATTTGGTTTCAAATAATTGACTTTGTTATAATCAGATCCACCCCAAATAGATTAAGATTTGCTAACACTGTTTCCCAAAGTAAACCAAAGACAAGTTCAGAAATGTTCTGAAAAACAGCAGCACTTCTAGAGCAAATCCGTTCTCTCTCCGCCACACCAATCTTCCCAAGGACCAAAAGGAGACAACTATCACTTCAATAAGCTTTGCTATGCACTGCTTTAAAAACATTTGGATAGCCTCAAGTTTTTAAACAGAAAGTATAACTTACATTATATGAAAAAGCTTTCAATCTTAACGTGGATGAGAAGTTCAAGATTTCTCGGTTCAGCTATTTTTTTTTTAAGATTTTATTTATTTATTTGACAGAGAGAGAGGCACAGTGAGAGAGGGAACACAAGCAGGGGGAGTGGGAGAGGGAGAAGCAGGCTTCCTGCTGAGCAGGGAGCCTGATGCGGGGCTCGATTCCAGGACCCTGGGACCATGACCTGAGCCGAAGGCAGACGCCCAACGACTGAGCCACCCAGGCGCCCCTCAGCTATATTTTACTTCTTAAATTTGGTGAGCTTAATTCTAACTATACAAAATATAAAAACAAAATGTATTTCTTTCCTAGGCTATACAAGGTATGTTAGTAAAAAAGAAACATTTATGGACAGGTATCAAAATACTGAACATAGTTGAGTTAAGGATAATGTAAAGTTAACACCAAAAATATGTACATCAGATCTAACTAAAAATATATATACGTACCCAGCTTAACTCTGTGCTGTTTCTCTTCTTCACTTCTAAGAAAAGTATCCAAAGTTCGTAGGTCTGTCATGTAGTCTTCTTTGTCAGTAGGGGAATTATAGACGGTGGGTGAAGACCGGTAGCGAGATCTCAATCCACTGCTCTCCACTGGTCCAACAGTAGTAGGGTATGGAGAAGAAGGAGAGGGACTATAGCTTGCCAACTATACAAAATAAAAGAACTTCTTCTTTATTGAAATTTATTTGTTTTGGTTTTTGACTTTCAAAAAGTAACACACCAATTAGAACGGCCAAAATCCAGAACCATGACAATCCCGAATGTTGGTGAGGATGTGGACCAACAGGAACCCTCATTCACTGCTGGCGGGAATGCAAAATGTATACATAGCCACTTTGGAAGACAGTTGGCAGTTTCTTACAAGACTAAACTACACTTAACATATGATCTAGCAATTGTGCTCCTTGGTATTTACCCAAAGGAGTTGAAAACTTATGTCTACACAAAAACCCGCATACAGATGTTTACAGCAGCTTTATTTATAACTGCGAAAACCTGGAACCAATGAAGACATCCTTCAGTAGGTGAATGGGTAAACTGTGGTACAGCTGGACAAAGGAGTATTATTCAGCATAAAACGAAATGAAATATGGGGCACGGTGGTGGTTCAGTTGGTTAAGCATCCAACTCTTTTTTTTTTTTTTTAAAGATTTTACTTATTTATTTATTTGAGAGAGAGAATGAGAGAGAGAGAGCATGAGAGGGGGGAGGGTCAGAGGGAGAAGCAGACTCCCTGCTCAGCAGGGAGCCCAATGTGGGACTCGATCCCGGGACTCCAGGATCATGACCTGAGCCGAAGGCAGTCGCTTAGCCAACTGAGCCACCCAGGCGCCCCAGCATCCAACTCTTGATTTCGGCTCAGATCATGATCTCCGGGTCGTGAGATCAAGTCCCACAGAGCCAAGTCAGCTCCAGGCTGGGCATGGAGTCGGCTTAAGAGTCTCTCTGTCCCTTACCCTCCTCCCTTCACTGCCCACTCCACCTCCCCACTTGCGCACAAGCATTCTCTTTCAAAAAAGAAAAAAAAAAAGAAGTGACCTATCAAAGCCATGAAAAGACATGGAGGAAACTTAAATGCACATGACTAACTGAAAGAGGCCAATCTGAAAATGCTACACACTGTACGATTCCAATTATATGATATTCTGGAAAAGGCAAAACTATGGAGAAAGTAAAAAGATCAGTAGTTGCCAGAGACTGGGGAGGATGAACAGGTAGGGCACAAAAGATTTTTAGGGCAATGAAATTACCCTGTTATGATACCATACAATAATGGTGGATACGTGTTACTATATATTTGTCCAAACCCACAGAATGCACACCACTGAGAGTGAGCCCTAAAGTAAACTACGGCCTCTGGGTGATAATGATGTTCCAATGTAGGTTCATCAATTGTAACAAATGTACCACTCTGGTGGGGGATTTTGATTAGCTGGGGGGAAGCTATGCCTGTGTGGGGGCAAAAGGTATACAACATGTCTCTGTACCTTCCTCTCAGTTTTGCTACAAACCTAAAACTATTCTAAAAAAAAAAGGTCTGTTTTTTAAAAAAGCAATATATGCATGTTTTAAAAAATGTAGAGTTTGAAGAAAGTAAGTCATACTCAACTCCACAACCTAGAGATAATATAATCCTTTCATATTTTATGTTCAAATCTTTAAGTATACACAGCTATATCAGTATATTTTTCCTTCTACATAATTGAGATAATACTATTTAGCTTTATAACCTCATTTTTAAAAAATTTTTAAAGATTTATTTATTTTAGAGATGGAGACAGAGAGAGTGTGTGAGCATGTGCATGCGGGAGCAGGGGTGGGTGGCGCAGGGCAGAGGAAGAGGGACAGGGAGAGAATCTCAAGCAGACTCCCAAGCAGAAACCAACTGAGCCCCCCAAGTGTCCCCTCATTGTTTTTTTTAAAAACTAAGGATTTTCCTATAAAAATCCTTTATAAATATTCTTAGTGGCTGTGTAATATTTCATTGTACAAATATACCATAATTTATTTTTATATTCTCTTATTCTAGACATTTGAACTGTCCACATAATTTTTGGCCACTGTAAATAATATTGATTAACATCTTTGTACATAAATCTTAATTTCTGAGGATGCCCTTCAGGAGATTCCTAGAACAGAAATGATTGGGCCAAAGCATATGAACATTTAAATACATATTCCCATTCTATTGAATGAAAATGTTATACTAAGTACAATTCAGAAGAAAGTTGATAGGAGGACCTATTTTGGTATACATCCATCAGCATTACTACTTTAAAATGTTTATTTGATATAGAAGAATTTTTAAAAATTTACATTTAGCTTGTGTTTCCTTATACTTATGAAGTTAAACACTTTAAAAATACAATTACCGGTCACTGTATTACCTATTTTATTAAATATCTACCCCAGTACATCGATAATTATTTTTACTGGGGTTTCATTATCAATTTATATTAGCTTGCCTTAAATCAAGGATTAAAAAATCTTTTAGTTTAATGTTGATTTAAAATAAAAATGTTAATCTTCTTCGACATTGATTTCTCTTATGGGGTGGAGCCTATTTAAAAAAAAAATCCTTACATATGCTATGATATTTGGGCTAAATAAACCATACTGGGCTAATAAACCATTGACTGGTTTATTTTTACTCAAGGGGCACATTTTGTGCACAATATATATTACCTTATTTTATCCTCTCAATAATAGGTAAATATTACTACTGTACTAATTGTGGACACGAGAGGTTAGGTTAACTCACTCAAGATCCTACCAGGATTTCAATCCAGTTTTTCTGACTATAGAATTTAGGCTTTTAATATATTTTATTGGATCAGAATTAGCTGTCCATACACTAGAAGAATGTGGGTAAATACTGAAGATGGGTAACAGGTATGTTTGAAAACTTCAATAATCAAAAGTTTAAAAGTAACTGGTTTCTTGAAAATTTAAAAAGAACTCAATAGCAAAATTTCAGGGCTCTAATATATTCTGCAGATACATTTGATTAAAATTTTTCTTCCGTATTTATTTAGGTTTTCTACTTCGTCAATCTTGGCATTTTTCTCCCTAGAAAAAGAATTATTCTATTTCATTAACTTTTCCGAAGTAGTAATTTGGTTCAACAAATACTTATATAGCATCTATATTCCATACACTGGGCTAAGAAAACAAAGATGAATAAAAAACACAATCCTGTACTTGAGGTTACAATCTAGTAGAAAAAGATAATTAAAACAATGTTACCAACTTTATGTAAAGAGTTATTTAGTACAGATTAGTAATAGTTTCTAAGAAATAAAAAAAACTTACTTATTCAAGAGTAAACTATGGTATTTCCACTAGACGAGTATTAAGGAGCCATTAAACAAATTATGTTTGGGTGGTAAGACTGAGTGATTTTTCTTTTCTCATGAAAATAAAAGCTATTTTTACAAGTCATATTTACCTATGGGTTATGAATTATCACTATATACACATTTCCTCATAATATTTAACTTGTACAAAATGTTCTAAATTCTATTACTTGCCAAAATTATTATCAGGTAACCAGTAATATGGAATTTCATTACAAAGAAATATTATATAAAGAGTAAGGGGCAGTGTGTTGATTTCATTTGCAGACATCCCTCATTTAACTAGCAGCTATAGAGATGTTAGTCTAACTAGAGAGAGCATCTGAAAAAGTGACCATCGCCCCCTACCTTTTAAATGATTTTTTAAAAAGATTTTATTTATTTGACAGAGAGAGAGAGAGAGAGAGAGAGAGAACACAAGCAGGCGGAGCGGCAGGCAGAGGGAGAGGGAGAAGCAGACTCCCCGCTGAAGAGGGAGCCCAATGTGGGGCTTGATCGCAGGACCCCGGGATCATGACCTGAGCCAAAGGCAGACACTTAACCGACTGAGCCACTCAGGCATCCTTGATTTTTTTTTAAGTAATCTCTACACACAACATGGGGCTTGCGCACACAACTGCGAGGTTAAGAGGGGCACGTTCTACTGACTGAGTCATCCAGGCGCCCCTGACCATCTCTTTAATGCTCCTTTTATGTTCTTATGCTTCAGGCAGAAGTCCTAATTTCAAATTTGTCAATGTTGCTTCTATCAAGTCCAAAAATAAGAACTATATCCCACTTTACTGTGGGAGTTGGAATGAAGGTTTCTAATCATCCCTTTTGAAAGGGGTGTCCATCCTCAAGAGTCCAACTACACAACTCTTTTTAGCTTAGGAGGTAATCCAACATGATGAAAGCATTAAAATTTTATTTATTTAGGGTGCCTGGGTGACTCAGTCGTTAAGCATCTGCCTTCGGCTCAGGTCATGATCCCAGGGTCCTGGGATCGAGCCCCGCATCGGGCTCCCTGCTCAGCAGGAAGCCTGCTCCTCCCTCTCCCACTCCTCCTGCTTGTGTTCCTGTTCTCGCTCTCTCTCTGTCAAATAAATAAATAAAGATTTTATTTACTTTTTTTTTTTTAAGATTTTATTTATTTGTGAGAGTGAGCAAGCACACGCACAAGCAGGGGGACTGGCAGGCAGAGGGAGAAGCAGGATCCCCACCAAGCAAGGAGCCCGATGCTGGACTTGATCCCAGAACCCTGAGATCATGACCTGAATGAAGGCAGACACTTAACCGATTGAGCCACCCAGGTGTCCCAGAAAGCATTAAAATTGTATAAGGTTATACAAAAGTTTCACATAAACAAGCAAAGAAAGAGGGCAAACATGAATTTAAAAACTAAAAGAAAAAATTATCATAGTCTCAGCTGGTTTGAAAAACCCTGCAGAAAGATCCTAGATGGTGACCCTCAGAGTCCATTATCTTTGCGAAAGCTAATTTTTTTCCTTTCACTTTAGGATGTAGTATAAAGAACTTCTGACTAGTTATAAGGATCTGGGTTCTGTTCTTGGCTCTTAAATGGGCAATTTGGGCAAGTCAATTATCCACTGTTCCTCAGTTCCCTCAGTGAGAAAATGAGGAGTTTTGACTCATTTGCTGATTTTCAAGGTAGCTCTCCATACTAAAATAATGTGACTGGCCAAGAGAAAGGATTCATTACCTTATTATAACCGCTGATGGGAGAGTAAGTCACTCCAGGGCTATAGGAACCCCCTGATGACAGACCTTGCAGCTGAGGGCTATATCCAGTTATACAGCTGGTGGTGAACTTGGGGCTGGTACTGGGTGAACGAGATGGGCTATAACTCAACACACTCTGACCCTGAATTGAAGGAGAAGGTGGAGAGGGAGGGATCTGGGTTGCTGCCAGATCATGTGGAGGAGTAGTCTGTACAACTAGAAGGAAGGAAGGAAAGAATAAATAAATAAATAAATGAGTGAGTGAATAAAAGATGTGTGTACATGTATAAATAAAATTTCTACAAAAACAGACTTAATGAACTGAACCTTTTTCAAGAAAAGAGAAAGTAATAGGGTGACTTGGTTGTTAAATTACATAACGTATTATAACCTAAGGACACAAAGTAGTTGTTTACCATTTCCACAGATTTTAAAGTAAGAGATTAGCTTCAATGCCGTAAGAGTTAGTCATTTAATTTTAATTGTAATTAAACAAAGGAATAAACTTTCATGAGGCTGTTGAATATTATTTCCATTCAGTTTATACAAATAGGAATGATAATCATTGGTCTTAAGACAATTTATTATAGACTTGCTTAATATAGTTGAACCAGATGGCCTTAGAAGTCCCTTCCAGCTCAGTCTATAAAAAGGGCAAATTAAATTGAGAAAGATTTATTGCCAACCTTTCCCCCACCTTTGCAAAAGATATAAAACACTTACCAGCTGTTTTCAACCCTAAAAGTGTTTGCTGTCCAGGGCTAACAACCAGACTTGTTGGTGCCACAGTGTATTTGAAATATCTCCAAAAATCAAATAAGGCATTTAGGCTGAAGAGGGATGCAAGGGCAAGCTCTGGAAGAGAACAATATATTTTTTTTTTTTTTAAAGGGGGTAGACCATCTAAAGGGGGGAACAAAAACTCTTCATATTTTAGCAAGTTAACAACAAAATTGAAAACTATCTTCTTATTCCCCATAACAGTTACCATTTAATGAATGTCAACTGTATACAATGTTTATTACATAAATGTTTATTATAGGGCATTTACCAGTGAATTTCAAAGTATTATTGGGGCACCTGCTGGCCCAGTTGGTAGGTAGAGAATGTGACTCAATCTCAGGGTTGTGAGTTTGAGTCCCACATTGGGTATAGAGATTACTTAAAAACAAAAAATCTTAAAAAAAAAATATCATCACTAATCCTTACAACCTTGTACAATAAACATTTTCACCTTCACTTGACTAGAGAAGTCAAGTGACTTTTGCAAGAACACACAGCTTGATATTGAACCCATGATTACACCTCAGGTATGCAGATTCCAAAACTCCTTGCCACACCACCTCCCTATCACAGACTCCAGGTTAATGTGTGTATTAGACTATGGAATTCACTCCAATGGCCATAAAGACTCTTCATACCCCAGGACTACTGAGGAGCAGAGTGAAGCAGAGGAAGTAACAAGGAAACTGAGGAAGGCATCAATGGAATACAAATCTGGTTGTTCTTGAAAGGAACAATGGTAGGGAAGTAGGGAAGGCATTTCAGAGAGAATAACAAATACAAATCACCACCACCAAACACTGTTTTTCATCACAGAACTCCAATGATTACCTGGAATTGTACTGTTTGTTTCCTCTACTAGAAAGTTCCTTCCATGAGGGCAGGGACTTTGTTCCCTTCCTGTTGTATTCCCAGTTTTTGGAACATAGTACACACTCGAATATTTATGGAATGCAGGAATGAATACTAAGTTGAATTAAATATGAATGCAGTTTTTCATTGGTAGTAAATCTTAATCAGAGTAAAAATTAATTACTTACCAATATACCAGAGGGGCCAGTATGTCACATTATAATATGAACTAATCAATTTTCCAGTCCTGAAAAAATCAGACAGGCTTTTCAAAATCTTAAAAAAACACGAAAAACAAACAACAACGACAACAAACACCCCAAATCCAAACACCAAAACCTGTGGAACTGACCGTTGGCTTAAGTTTCACTTTTTTCTGGCTAATTAACTTACATTTCAGTATATATCATTCCAGCCATAGATACATTTAGGAGTCCCCAGGCTAAAACCACTTTCTTAGCTTCTGTTTCTTTTCTCATCTTGATGGTTGTGTCAATGAGGGAAGCACTAGGATTTGTCTCCCCTTTCATCTATTCAAAAAATTCAAAAATTCCCGTTAATGAATTAATGAAAAAAACAAAACAAAAACACTTCTCCATTTAAGAAACTTGTGTCCTTTATAACAGTAACTAGAAACTGCACATTTCCCCTTAACTTTAAAATGTCTTTCCAAAACTTTTTACATTTTACTATTATTATATGAAAAGGGAACGCTAAATTATAAGTTTATTGGCACCATACTGTAATCAACAGAGAACTGGCTCAGCACTTCAGAGAACAATACTTCCAACGAATAAAAATGTCTTATTTTGTATTTAAAGGATGGTGATTATATCTACAATTATTCTGTATTGTGCTTTTGGAATATGTCACAAGGATTAGCCCAAGGGCTAATTTAAGAAACTCAAAATACCAAGCTTTGGGAGAAAATATTCCAAATTAGTTATGCCATTAAAGGCTCTCCTCTTACATCTTCACGCAGAAGCCATTAACTGCCTACCATCGTAAACAACTCTGCACTCGGGATTGTCGCACGCCAGAGACCCCTGTTTTGTGTTGCTGATAAAGTGTAAGATTTTATGTTTTATAAGGGTGAACACTCATGGTGTGAAGGGGACGAGACCGACTGGGGAGTGTGCAATTTGGGTCCACATAGGATTTATATTTCCTTTGTTTCGCTAGGCCTCATCTCAGACAAACGTAAGACTCCCTCGTATCTAGGGTCGTATCCAGACAGTACAGAGCAGCACCCTTCGCGCCTCCCAGTCCGCGAGTCCAAACTTCCCAGTCCCCAGAGCTTCCCTCCCTGGGTCTCCCAGTACAAACTTTGGCAACCCCTATTGCTTCTTTCGTCCTTCCACTAAAGGTGTTGGGACGCCTGGCCACACCCCCCTTTGGCTGAACCCTCGGCAGATCCACAGTCACGGAAATCCCACGGCCCGCGTGGACTCCACGTCCTGGAAGCACAAAGATGACCCCCAAAACGCACCATGTTCTTCGGCCGGAAGCCGCGGGCTCGCGCCACTCTCTACTGCACATGCGCGAAGCCAAGAGCGAAGGAGAAGGCAACCGGCTTGCGGGACTACAGTTACCGGAAGAACGGACCTTCTCGCGAGAAGAGGAGGGTCGGGGAGGGACGAGAGCTCGGAGCGTTACCCGGGAAACAGCTTTAATGTTTGTCGTTCCCACTCTTCTGCGGGGAGAAAGCCGAGCAGCAAAAATTCAGACCAAGTTCTGAACCCGCAGTAAAAAGTAATAATTGTAACAAGCTGAATTTCTATATATTAATATAATTTTAGCTTCCTTAGGGTATTTATGGGTTCACATTTATAAGCACATTTTATTAAGCAGGGTAGCTAATTGTAGGGTAGAGTATGGGGTAACGTGTCCACACACCCATCAGCGACGACAAAGCATTTCTCACAAAAACAAGTGTTCTGACCCGATGTAAAGTCTTAAATGTCCTTGGAATAAGGGTGCAGCAGTAGGAAGAAAGCCCCAGATGTGTTAAAGTTGCTAGTGGTTTTGAGGTTTAAAAAAATCCAGTCGTTAACTTTTCTTGCATATTCTTCGGAAGAACTTCTAACCTTGAGGAAAAGGCTTATCAGGGAGTTCAGTTTGGTTTTATTTAACAAATACAAACGCCTACACTGTGCCACTGGGCCATGCGCGGGGATGTGAAAGTGGAGTTCCCTGGTTAGCGTCTGGAGGAGTTCAGCCGGCCTGGGCACTAGAGGGACAGGAGAGGTGGCGCACGGTGAGCCTGGAGGGGGTGCGACTGGCAGGCTCCTGGAGAGCTTCCTGGAGGACACGATGCAGGCCTAAGGCACAGGGCCAACAGCCACGAGGAGCAGGGCGTGGGGACCCGCCGTTGGGGATGTGGAGAAACGGTACCCTAATGAAAACATCACGCCTTTTCACAATAAGCTAGTGGATTGTTGCATCATGTACGTGTCGGTGACCAAAATTTTTCCTAAGATGCACCTAAGGTCAAACAGAAGAAAATGAAGTTTCCTCGTGGTATTGCATATTAATGGAATCGGCGGGTATGCTATGCTTTTAAAGATCTAACAGGTTTTTTAAAACTGTGATTTTAATAATTTTAGAATGCCTTAGCAGCAATGGTGTTTTGCTCTAGTTTTAGATTCAGAGATGAACTAACTCGAAAATCGTTCAAAGTGAAGGGCTTCAGTGTACAGTCAAAATTAGAATACCAGGTTCCTCCCCACCTCATAGCTCTTTTCCTAAGAAATTGACACATCTTTTTTTTTTTTCTTCATTTTAAGTAGCATGGAGCCCAAGCTGGGCCTGAACTCACAACCCTGAGATCAAGACCTGAGCTGGGATAAAGAATCAGAGGCTTAACAGACTGGGCCACCTAGGCACCCCTACAACAGACACATCTTTATTTCCTCTCTTAATGTCCTTAAGTTACTGTGCACTTATTGAAGGCTTAAGAAGGAACACTATTATATATAGTGTTTTGCTAACTGGCATTATGTATTAGTTTGCAATGGTTACCATAAAAAATACCATGGACTGGGTGGCTTAAACAACAAAAATTTATTTTTTCACAGTTTGCAGGTTAAAAATCCAAGACCAAGGCAAAGTCGTATCCAGGCAAATTGGTTTCTCCTGAGGCCTCTTCCTTGGCTTGAAGATGGTGGCCTTCTGTGTCCTCACATGGCCTTTTTTTCTGTGTCCACACACCCCCGGGGTGTCTCTTTCTCTTATTATAAGGACATCAATCATATTGGATTAGGGCCCTATCTTTATGACCTCTTTAACCCTAATTGTCTCTTTAAAGGCCTTATCTCTGGTTATCGTCAAATTGGGGGTTATTCATTCAACATATGAATTTGGGGGAACGCAGTTCAGATTACCTCAGAGTCTTAGATTTTACAGACATTAAAATTTAAAGAAAATACAGTATGTACAAGTTTCAGGAAAATAAAAAAAGATTAAGGTAGAGTGCACCCTTTTGAGGTATGGGGGAAATACCATAAACTTTCATAGAAATAATTTAGATAATCTTCCAAAAACTTAGAAATCCAAGAAGTGTTTGTCAGTTCCTGTCACAGTTACTGAAGCGTATGTCACAGTAGGTTGCCAAGGAAATTGTCATATATATGGAGTGAAGTACTTTCTCAGTCATCTTCATTCTTTTGAGCATGCTTTATTTTCAAAGCAAGAAGCCATCATGGGAGACCTTTTTTCCTTATTTTGGGAGGTGGATCCTCCCCCCATACCTTTAAGTTTTACCATTCCAAGTCAGGAATATGAATGCCGGAAGGATGACTCTTGCGGGGCAATAGGGAGCTTCCTGCTTTGGTATTTTGTCATTATATTGGTCCTGATGTTCTTCTCTCGGGCTTCTGTCTGGGTAGGATATTCTATTTCATTTAAAATAATATGTTTACTCTATCATAGGGGATTTTCCATAAAATAAATTCACTCTACTTCGGTCAAACTACTTTTTAAAAGTTTGTTTTCTAGTTTTAAAAATAATGCAATCTCATTCTAGAGCATCCAAGAATACAGAAAAGGATGAAGAAGAAAATTTAAACTACTGTAATCCTATTTCCTAGAGATAGCGGTTGTTAATATTTTGGAGTAATATTCTAGTCTTTTTGTCTTTTTCTCTGTCTCAGTATATTTCTCTCAATCTCTCTTTGATCTTACATGGTTGGTATTGCATTGTATATATTTTCATACCCTGCCTTTTAAAAACTTAATATTATATTGTAACACTTCCTCAAGTCATATTCACACAGCAGCACTCTTAATGACTGCATAATTTTGTCTTATGGTTGCACCATAACAAATCTGCAATTCTGAGACATTTAGGTTGTTTGCAGTTTGTCCATCGCCTGTGTAACGCTGGGATAAACTTCCCTACTGGTAACTGACCTCCAAATTCCTTTTGTAGCCATGTAATTCTAATCAAAGATACAAAAGTTGTCATATTTATAGAATACATGTTGTAGGATTTGGGAGCTTTTAGAATGAGGCAATGTACTCTCCTGAAAGATAAGGTGCAGAACTAAACTAAAGTTAAACAGAACAAAAGTCATCACTTTAGACCACCTACTAGCAGAAGAAAATGCCATCCTCTTAGGAATGAGATAGCCCAGTTTTTTCAGTACTGTGAATCTCCAACATATTATGAGTAACCGAGCTCTTATAAATTGCTGACATGGAGTCCTTGCTGGCCATTAATACCAGGCTGATGATTAATCAAACCACCATCATTTGGCATTACAGCCAGAGTGCTGGCCTGGCAACGGTCAGCTAGACTTGAGGGCTGCATCAACTCTAGATGGAGAGGAGGAGTTTTGTTATGTCTGTGCCAGCTGGGTTCCATTATAATAATCAAAGACTCTTCCCCTCACCACCTCTTCCCCCTAAGAAGAAGTTTCATCTAAAGTCTAAATGCTTCTTAAAGTAGATACTTATATACGCTAAGTATATTGAATTTGTCTGGATTGGCCAGCAAAGCTACTTTAGAAAATTAACAAAAAAAATTGAAATTGATTCCTGGCAATTTCATCATGAAGACCACTTAAGAGGTCTAAGTTATTCTTCTGCTCCTTTGCTTGCATCAGCTCTTTGGAATCATAGAGCCTGAGCTTCAAGGACCTAAGAGAGCATGCAGTCCAGCCTCCTTTTTGTAGGCAAGTAAGATACCAGTATCCCTCCTCTTTTTTTTTTTTTTAATAAGGCCCAAAGAAATTAAGTGACTTGTCCAATGTCACACAAGTGGTTAGTGATGGAGGAGAAATAGACCCAGGTTTCCTGCCATGTAATTCATTTGCTTCAAAGCATAGCTGAAATGTTGAATTAAATCTATTCAGTGCTGATTAAAACCTTAATTATCTTAGAGGTTTCGTCTTTCACTTTGTACCCCTATGGCAGTTACAATCGGCTGAACTGCTTCTTGTGAAGGGTCCCAGATTTGAAATCTGAGAACCATATGAGAGCTAGTCAAGGAGGATGGAATTTTTCCTTCACTTTGAACTTCATTTTCTCTGCTAAACTATGAGCCTTTATTTACAAACCTTGAAGTAATGGTAAAAGCGTGATGGAAATGTGGTGGTAATTATCCTCAAACGTGAAGCACACTGATTTCCTCTGGATTTGCCACTCTTTAAGATGCATTTACCCTTTTGCTTTCAGACACTATAAATACTATATTTAGCTTATATATTTGTTTAGTGTTTATTCAGACTGCTAGTGCTGGTATTTTTCCAAACAATACTGGTCCAAGCTTCTCATTTTGCATATGTGGAAACTGAGCTTTAGGAGGTGTTAAGTAAATTGTTAAAATTGCAGACCTGTGCCATGGCTGAAAGGCAGAGCCATACCTAGATCTCTCCACTGTTCTCGCCTACTCCTCAGGACAGGCCCTGCTGATGTTTTCACTCACTGAGTCACACACAGATAGTTAATAAAATGCTTTTGGTAACCACAGTTCATGCGATTCCACTTAGCTTGATGCAAAATCTTTTGATTTGAGGATTATATTTTGATTTGACATCAAGTCAAATATGGAAGATTTCCATAAAAATGATGTAAACCTAACAAATATTTTTAAACATTTCTCCCTGTCAATTACAAAAGTATGCATTATAGAAAGCGTGGAAATTATAGGAAAGTACAAAAAATGAGAAAGAAACGTTCCAGATTACATGGAAATAACCAACTACTATGAACTTTTAGGTGGATAAACTTCTAATCATTTAAAAATTATCTCTATATGTATGAAATTTAAAATAAGCCTCCCCCCCAATCATTGTTAAAAGAGAGATATCTCAAAAGAGGATTCTACTCTTAAGGTTTTCAGAGAACGTTTGCAGAAACCCAAAAAGCAGAGAGGTACCTCATTAAAGATACTTACCTGCTGTTGTAGAGATCAGATATTAAGAAAAGAATGGGCCAAGGATCCTCGATTGTAGTTATGAATACCCACGTGTGGCATTTTCAACCCAAAGGGAGTTTGACTTTCTATAAAAATTCATTTTTCCCCAATTGTAGACAACCTGAAAAGTTAGAAGGAAAAATATCACCGTTCCACTCACAGTCAACCATTGCTAACCCTTGTCTACATTGTTTAAAGTCTTTTCATATTTTTAGCTAGCTAGTGATTATCCTGCATATACAAATTTCCATCTTGATTTTTAACTTAATAGTATAACGTGTATTTCCTCATGTTGAGACATGCTTTTCTTATAATAATTTTTACAACTATATATTATGATTGTAACATAATTTATTTAGGGGCGCCTGGGTGGCTCAGTTGGTTAAGCGACTGCCTTCGGCTCAGGTCATGATCCTGGAGTCCCGGGATCGAGTCCCACATCGGGCTCCCTGCTCGGCAGGGAGTCTGCCTCTCCCTCTGACCCTACCCCCTCTTGGGCTCTCTCTCTCACACTCTCTCTCTCTCAAATAAGTAAATAAAATCTTTAAAAAAAACATAATTTATTTAACCATTGCCTACTTTTGATTTTTGAATTTTATATTATCCTAATTACACTGTGATTATTTTTGTGCACAAAGTTTTCTCTCTTTGAGGGGTTATTTCCTGGTGATAGATTCCTAGTAAGAATTATTATGTGTCAAAAGTGTTATAAGTATTTCTAAAGTTTTGATGTATTTTGAAAGAGTTGCTTTATATTTATATTTTAGCAAAATCATGTTCAGCATCAAAAAATGGGATACTGATCTGAACAATGGGACAAATTTATTTATGGAGTATTGGGCTAGGATATTTGAAATTGGAACTGTTCAAAGAAATCCATTTCTTTTTTGTTGCCAAACTCACAGATAATATGTTATGGTTGCATT